AGATAGATAGATAGATAGATAGATAGATAGATAGATAGATAGATAGATGGATGGATGGATGGATGGATGGATGGATGGATGGATGGATGGATGGATGGATGGATGGATGGATGGATGGATGGATGGATGGATGGATGGATGGATGGATGGATGTTATGAGGGAGTTTTTCCTTTCTACTGTTGCCTTGTGCTTGATTTGAATGGGAGATTGTGACAAAATGAAGACTCAACATAATCTGCTGGCTACTCTACCTTAGATAAATAATGTTACTAATTGAATTTGTATGTACAATGTATGTGAATGTTTCTGTTCAGTGCCCTGAGATAACTTCTGTTGTAACTTGGCGTTATATAAATAAACACAATTTCATTTTATTTAATTTTAGATAGACAGATATATGCAATTTCCATAATTAGCCACACGAGGGCGCACTTTACTCGGTTTGTGTAGCTCTACATTGACCGCTGCGTGAAGAACATTTTGTTACTGACTGAATGGGACAAAAAGTACATTTGAGACGGTCATGTGATAGTTGCCCTTGTTGTCAGATGTTCAAATAAAGATAAAGGCGAAAACATTTTAACACATGCTTTGGATGTAGGATTTTATTTTTAAGCATCATAGCGGTGAATATTAAAATCTGCGTGCAACTCCAACAATCATCGGTATGCGAGTTTTCCTGTTGCGCACCTACACTTCCGTCTGCACTTGGGGTGGTGGTGGTGGTGGTGGTGGGGGGGAGTATGAACCTGGCACTTACACCGTGTTTTACGCGGCTTAGCGTTTACCATCAGTCTGCAGCCGCGGCTGAGCGTGCAGTCACGGTGAGCCACGCCTTTGGTCCATGTGCCTCATCCTCCAGTCTCCGTGTCCCCTCGCGCACCACGTGCTCGGCACTTTGCATAAAATGTGTATCAGTAGGGCAGCGCTCTCCTCGGCACATGCAGAGTGCACATGTAGCCAGGCTTTACTGAACACACTCGAATAAGCGCATCAAACTCCCCGCAGCTCCAGATCCCCACCAATGAGAAGGCACAGAAGCGAGAAGGGGGAGAGAGAGAGAGATACAAAGAGTGAGCCAAATCCCTCATGCGCATGCATGCACGCGCGCGCACCCACACACACACAAGCGCAACAGAAGTTGGAGCGTGCGGAAAGGCGGTCACATTTCCTCTACTCACCTGCAAACGTGATTGATGTGGGTGTTTGTATCAGTGGGTGTGTATGTCACGCTGACTCTTCAGGGATGTGCTGACTCCACGTCTTTGGAATTTATGACAGTCGTTTAGTTCGGGTTCTTGCATCCGCACGCGCGCTCAAGCCGCACGGCGTTCTTATTCAGTGCGCAAAGAAGCAGAGGAAGCATCCAGGGTGTCTTCGAGGAGATAAACCTGAGTAATTCACCTCTGTCAGAAGAAGAAGCTCACTTTTTATTTTTACACGCACTTCACAGAGAGAGAGAGAGAGAGAGAAACTCTGCGCGCACTACCTCACCTCTCCAGATCTGCGCTCAAGAAGCAGGTGTTTTACGCGGAACTGGTTTGTCTTCAGAAGGACACTTTTGCTCCAGCCACTGGCATTCCCAGACATCTGGCGTCAAGTTTCTTTAAAGTCATCGACACCAACAAGACGGAGATGGATAACAGTCCTGGTGGCGGTAAGAACAACTTTAAGCATGCTTTCATGTCAGCAGCAAGACATTCATTTATCATGGTTAACCATCAGCAAGTCAGAGCAGCTGTACATTGTGTGATTTATTACATAAATGTGTCAAATGTCAATAAAATAGCCACACTTTCGAGGATAAATAAGTGTTTGGCAACTGTCAGATTTGAAAGGCGCCATATAAAATGCATATGAACATTTATTTGTAAAATCTTCAAAAGTTCACGTTTTCATTCAACTAACTGAGGCTGTTGCTCGCGCTGATCTTGTAGTGAAAATGTTAAGACATCAAACAAAACAAAGTCCTGCGGTGCGTTCAGGTGTCAGAGCGCTTCACAGGGAACCGCTCGTGGTTGCGATGAGGTTGGCCACTTCCGGTGCGCCTCCATGAAAACAAACTCACGTGGAGCTACAGAGAGCAGTCCGCTGCGCGTGAAGGCTGGACTCTAACCTCAGAGGGTGTGCGGGTTTGGTGGCAAAGCGCGCGCTTGGTACAACCTTTTACCTGCTTAGAGGTATTAGAGAGTTTTGGAGTTCAGCCAAGATGCGCGTGTTCTCTGCTGTCCTCTCCTCTATGACGGTCAATCATTGACAGCAGCGGACATCACGTTCCGGTGCAGGTGATGGGCGCGCGCCTCGCGCTGCCCACATCTGATCTAGGAGCTGAACTCACCGTCCTGTGACTTGGATTAAACTGGAAACTGTTTGTCAGGGAATGATCTGTCAGAGCTGTAGTATTAATGAATCTGACATTTTAATATTCATTTCCTTGATCTTTAGACGCCTCTGTTGGAAATTCTACTTCTTTTTTTTTACCTCTGTGTAATTTAACGTAGCCTTTTTTTTTTTTTTTTTGGGGGGGGGGGGGGGGATAAATGAATACGTTTTGCATGTTCTGACTTTACTCTCATCAGGACAAACAATATTTCACCATTTGACCTCTGAGTTTACAGCACAGACTGTATCACCTGAGACATTCCTAACCTTTGTGCTTCCTTTAACTTGTCAGAGCACGCGATGTGCAGATGTGCGTGTTGCCATAAAAGCTGAGCTAGACAAACCGTGGAACAAATATTTTAACGTTTCCACTCTCCAACTTCCTGGCAATCCCCATGATGGAGGAATCCCTGCATGACCTTCAGCCAGTCTATTAATTAGACTCCACGACTCGCAGGAAAACCTTCTCTTATTGACAGGACAATAATTATTTTCATTAGTTAGTTACCAAAACACCAAATAAAAAGAATCAGCATTTGTAGAAATTGACATGGTATTTGAACAGGCTATTTCAGCTTAAACGCACATAAATCGAAGCTATTATATAAATGTGAGATACAGGGATTTAATTCTGCCTCCTCTTGATATTTATTTATTTATTTGTTTATGGAGAGAACAGGGAGGGGCTATTTGACGTCACTACAGGTGTGCTTCATGGTTAATTACAGGCTCTTGCTCACACACTGACACACTGAGCTGCTGCCCCCCCCCCCCCCCCCCCCCCCCCCCCCCCCCACCCCCCCCCGCACCCTCTGTAGGAGCCCCGTGGAAACCGTGGCTCTAGGCTGGAGCGCTGCAGCTCTGTTCCCCCCCCCCAAACACACACTCGTCGAAAAGCCTCGTCCTCACGTGGCTTCCCTCTCGGAGCCGCGTGCAGCGCGTGAGATCCCCGGGCCAGCCTCCCCCCCCCCCCCCCGCCCCCAGTCGCTGCTCTCACGGACGCTGTACGCGCTCGCGGTGACAGAGAGGCAGAGCTTGGTCAGTGGGTCAGTGATGCAGCCATGGTTTAACTTTTAGTCACGTTGCCCCGCCTGATGCACAGCTGATCTAATTCTTATTATTTTTAACATCACTGTAAGAATGTGACTCTATTCTGAGCTGACAACATCTGTCCCCATCAGATCAAGGAACACATCTGCTCAGAGGGGGTTCCGTGGGAACGTGACTCTGCTTAATCTATGTGCACTCTGCTGCTCTCTCCAAACGATGCTCAAGCAGATAGCAAAGAAAGGGGGGAGCATTGGTAACATTTGCAAACACTCTGACAAACAAACACTGAAGTTTGTGCTTTTTGCATGTTTTTTTGGAAAAACCCAGCCTGTTCTGATCATAATGGAAAACATCCAATCTACAGTATATTCACTGTGTGCTGGTGAAGATTCGCAGTCATCCAGGACATGATGAATTCAAAAAAGCGTTCAATACAAAAACAACTGGACTTTATTTGTAACATATTTATTTATTTATTTATTTATTTGTAATATATTCACTGTGTTTATACAGTCGGGTCTGTTATAAGTGCGTGAGCTAAAGCTGCAGTATGGCACCAGTTTTGAGAGACGCTAGAGGCACATAGACACAGTTCTATCAAGTTCCTGTGATATTGACCTACTTACACAAGCCTGTGGTAAGAAAGTCTGCTTCACTCACCCTGATTGGATATGCTCTGATACAAAGACACTTATGCTCACTTATAAGAATCTTTTCAGGGAGCAATGGCATTTGGACAGACTCGGTTTCAAGTGTAAGCAAACACTACAAGGTGTAGCATTAGAGATAATGTACGAGAGATAAGAAAGGGTTGGACAGTGGAGGACGCACGGCTCACGTTTCTCTGCCTGGTCCCGGGCAGATTAGTGTTTGCACGAGCAGGCTAAGAGGACTGACTCAGTCAGAGCCGTTATCAGTGACCTGTACTTTAAGTCAGGTCAAGGTTCTTTATTGTCATTCACATCACATGTGGTACATGTGGTGGAACAAAATTGTGTACACAGGGTCCCAGTTACATCCAACTTAAGTATAAATTGCAAAGAAAAACGGTAATAAGATCTAAGATATGAACTATGCTAAAGCTATAGCACAAATAGTACAAAAACTATACGCCGAACAGCAGTAGCACGAACATGAGTCTGTGTGATTCATGAGTCTAACAGCTTCAGGGTAGAAGCTGTTCCTCAGTCTAATGCTCCTCAACCTCCTGCCTGAGGGGAGCGGGGCAAAAAGTGAAGAAGTCAAGGTGCGTGCAGCCAGTGTGGGAATAAAACTCTCCAAACAACATCAAGAGCTCTGAAAAACACCAAGTTTGGGACATTTGAGCTTTCTGATGATCGTTTAGACTGATGATTAAGCGTAACTGAATATGAGCTTATTTGAAACAATATTTGTATTTTTAAACAGCATAAGGACATATTTTGTCTATTAGGACACATTTGGTCTTTACCAGGTCTTAGAATGAAGAAATAACCACAGATTACCATTAACACATGACTCATTTTATTTATCAAGTTCAAATGTAACAAAATATAACCAGAACCAGTATAGCTTGTTCAAGTTGTGATAATGTGGATGTTTTTTTCATCAACATAAAGGAATTTTGGCCAACTTTAAAAAAAAAAAAAGATTGCTTCAATTTATAGAGATACTGACGTTTTTCTCGTGCAGATGGTCTTAAGTCTCGCTCCAACATTGTAACCAGGTTGAGGTCTGAACTTTGACTGTGCCTTTGCAACACCTTGACTTGTAGTTTTTCTATATTTGCTGCTGTGCTTGGAATCACCGTCCCAGTTATCAAATGTGGTGTGCACTGTGACCAAATGTCCTCTCTTTGTTCTGAATGTTGTTCCAGATGTCTTGTGGTTTGTGCAGATAATCTAGGCCATGCTGCAGGTTCTTTTTGCAGAAAATGAGGCTTTTTTCTGCAATCTCTTCAGTCATATTGTTATACATTTTACATATTATCTCAAGGCTTGTCATGCATGTAGTATGTTAGTGTGCAGGCTACAGAGTTATTTTGTTGTAATTTACTCGTGTATCAATGCTCATAATTAGGGGCACAGATAACTATTCAATGTTTTGCATTATGTATCAGGACATAATCAGAAATTATGCTAAAGATGAATATGAGATATTATACCATATAAATACTTGGCAAAAAAAAAAGATTAAAAATACAGAAATAAAAATGTATTCAATCCCACTTGTTTCCTCAAAACTATAATGGAAAATAGCAACATGTGAATCATAAGAAAACTTGAGCATCTCTGTGAAAGCAAGAGTTTTGATAGTTTGTTGCTATGCAGCATTTAGATGTGTGCTAACCAAACAGGAAATAATTGTGCAATAGGAAGAGGCAAAAATTAACTTTCTAAGAAAATGAAAGTCATTCTACAGTGAGAAAGTATTCACAAATAGGCAAAACTCAAGAGAATGACCAATTTTCTTAATACTGAAGAGCTGAATTTCCAATCATTTTACACATTTTAAAATAAAGGTACATGCTGGACATGTGAGCCTTCAGGTGGACATGCATGTGTTTATTGTGGGAGGTTGGGCATTGACTGAATGTTGGTGAGCCGGAGAGCTCCGAGTCTGCTGGATATGACCATGACATGAGTGAACAAATCCACCAACACGTGCTGGTGGAGGGATTATCAAAACTATTGAGCTGAACAACTTGTGCAGCAGGATGCTGTGACTCCACTGCGTCATGACGCAAAATTACCCATGAAGTTTCAGTTTGAACATGTTTATCTTCCTTTAAATACTTAAATGTGCACCAAATTGCCATTATGATTGTATAGCAGGTGCATTGCGCAGCTTCCTTTGCGCATAACGCGACTCACATTCCTGAACTAACATGCCTCACGTTCCAGGAGCTTTCCCACCCCAGTCCCGCGTTTGTTTACATACGCAGCAGAATATTATTTTATTCCGTTTCGACACGAGACTGCGGATTTGGTTCGGCCAGTGGAACCGTGTCAGGAGTCCGTGCATGTGAGGCGGCGGTCAGGTGTCGCGCTGCTGGCTGACGCTGGGCACCGTGCCACGGGAGCGAGGCTATTATTGGAGCGGAGGAGGCAGCAGACCCCGCAGACACGTGAGGTCCTGTCTCAGCCCATCCAGCGATGCCTGACTGGAGATTGGAGGGGGAGGGGGAGGGAGGGGGGGGGGGGGGGTCCTCATCGAGATGATTTAGTGATGAGAAAACAACCAGCATCAGTATGACATGGAAATTATATGCAGATTTTACCTTTATTTTTATTTATTTTTGTGCATCTGGTTAAAAAAAAAAAAAAAAAAAAAGTCTGTTGCTGTGCTGCCTGCGGTATTTTTAGAGCCCATTCTCTTGAACGCATCATCCATGAGGCAACAATTCTCGGAGTCCCTCTCTGCTGCCCAAAGGTTTTTACATTGCATCATATCCAACTTTGTGAAGGAGCTAACATGTATTTAGGGATGCTGAACAAATTTAATCTGATAAATATATTTCTTAAGCTGCCCACTGAAAACGCAGAGTGAATGCTGGAGGTGGATGACTGAACTGAGTTAATTGCTGCTACTAATTCACTAAGAGGGAGGTATAAGCTAAAATTAGCTGAACTATTGTTAAAAAGCAAAATTGATCAAATCGTTAAAAGCTCAAATGAGTAAAACTGTATCTAGAAGCTATAGGAAATGGTAGCTAAACCTAAATGTAGCAAACTGTAAACTGTAGCTAAAACTGCTATTAACAAAATAGCCAAATCTATAAAGCTAAAAGCTAACATTAAAAACAGCTAAAAGAATGAAAGACAAAGAGCCAGTTTGCTGAGTAAATTTGAGAAAACAGTTTTACCTATTTTTTCCCTAGAGAAATATATGTTGCAAATAAATAATTCAACCTGTTCAAAAGTTACAAATACTAAAAATCATAGAACACTGATTACATTTTGACATTTGAATGGTTAAAATAGCTTATATGGAGTTTATTAACAGACACAAAGAAGAAACTTCAAATGGGACAGCAGCTTGAATGCATTCCAACAGTTACTAGAGGAGGGATATTCAACTGGTGGCCCAGGGGCCAAATCAGGCCCACAGATGAAGTCAGTTCGGCCCATGCACCAATTTAAATAAAACTAGATTTTAAACCATAAAACAAACTTACTTAATGACAATAACTGCTGGATGTCTGGCTCCTGAACTCTTGGCTTTCAGGAACTGTGCCCCCCAGAGCAGTTTAGATGAAAAGGCCTGCTCTAGAGTCTTTGTGATGATTTTAACTTTAACAAAGTGGGTGTTGCTTGTGGAGTACCATGGGACTCAATTTTCGGTTTTATTGTGTTTGTACTTTGTATTGCCACTGTTAATAATATGCTTTTACTGCAGTTATTTATCGATGCATGCATGTGTGTGAATATGTTTGAATATGTTATTAATATATAAATAAACCCAAATCCTCCTTTTTAATGAAACTTGTGCATATATATTTTTAAATACTGTGTTTATGTCTGAAATGTGCTACACAAATAAAGTTTGGATTGACTTTTGTTCTCCATTCCTTCATTTAGGGGGAGTCATCCTTTATGCAGGATCGTCTGGCAGTTCCAGCCCAAGCCCCGGTAGCCCTTCCAGTGGGTACCAGACACAGTCACCTTCCTCACACTCCCAGCCTTCGTCTCCAGAAGAAGTTACCTTTACAGAGATAGGGGTTCTGAAACATGGGAGGACTTCCAGTTCCAACACCCCAACCTCCAAACTGGTGTTTCAGTTCCCAGAAGTCTACAGCACTCCGTCAGCAGCAGCTACTCCACAGCAGTCCTACGCACACCCAATTGCAGGGAAGAGACCCTGTGGGTTCACAGGAACTTTCACCAGTAAGTGTTTCCTCACTGCTAATATGTTTGTATATAAATCTTTATCCAGGTTTTTGTTTTGATTATCTAACTTTTGACATTTCCTTCCTCAGAGACAGGAGGAATGGTCCTGCTTTGCAAAGTTTGTGGAGACATTGCATCTGGCTTCCACTATGGAGTGCATGCATGTGAAGGTTGCAAGGTAAGCTTTTTTTGGAACAAAATAGTGGCATTGTTTCAGCACTGTGTTGACTTTGTTGCACCAACTTCATTTCACACTTTGTGCGTTTCAGGGCTTTTTCCGTCGCAGCATCCAGCAGAACATCAACTACAAGATGTGCGTAAAGAACGAGAACTGCCTCATCATGCGCATGAACCGCAATCGATGCCAGCACTGCCGTTTCAAGAAATGCCTCTCTGTTGGCATGTCAAGAGATGGTGAGCCATCTTAACATTCTTTTTTAAATCACGGAGACTTTCATGCATTTCTCACATAATTTCACAGTTTTGTTTTTTTTAATAGCTAGAGAGCAATACAATTGACACCCAGAGAGGAGCACTGCACTGATACTGTATGTAGGTCTGTGTGAAAAATGTGCTGCAGAGAGGCTTTTTGGGGTCATCATGTCAGTAGCTCAGCCACTTTCTCATTAGAGGAGATGCACCTGTCTTTTCATTCCACTTTGTCACACAGCCACAGACTCTGGCTTGCATCACACCTAAGTTTCACTGTGTCTTTCTGTTGCCCTTTGTATTATCTTCTCACAACACTGTTACCTATATACTCTTCTTCAGTACAGCCCCTCCTTTTCTTATGTACCCACCACGTTCCCTCAGCTCTCCTACATCTCCCCTCTCAGACAGTGATTTATGAGAAAAGGAGCCTTGAAGTCCCTCAAGCTATCTATCATCTGGAAAACTGCAGCAAACACAAGATTTATTTTGGGAAATTGGAACAGGGTCAACTTGATTACCTTGTGTATGCACAAAGAGCATCTTACTGCAGTTAATAAGGAGCAGGGCAGCAATTAGGCAAGGTATGCAGAAAACATTGTGTGACAGACTTATTCAGGCGTTATGCTCCTGTATCACCTGATTTTACCTCCAAAAGCTGAGTATAGATTGATCACCTTTCATTGCAGATTAAAGAAACTGTCTGCCTGACCTAGAAAAACAATATGGAATTGGCTCTATAGTGTACTCACACATCATGACCTACTTGGTGTAGTTTGCCTGTTTTCTTCCTCCCAGTATGGTTTCTGCTTATCTCCATCCTCCAGCACTCTGCATAGCCTAATCTAGTAAAGGGGTTAGTGTTATTTCTGCATGTGCTTGACACTTCTGGTGCACAGAGAAAATTAGGTGGCAGCTCAAAAGGGGAGACAGCCAGGCCAACCCATGAAGGAAGATTTCTGAAAGTGTTAAGGACCACAACCTAGAAACCCCTTTTTACTCTGTTTCAACCATAACGAAAACAGGAAAACCACATGCAACTGCCTGCAGCCCACAATAAAACAGTCCACCCTGATTTCGTACCAGGCAGCTGTGTGACTCTGGTTCTGCAACAGGCAAATATCTGAGAATGTTGGCAAGATGGCACACTTTTCATCCTCCAAGCAGAGTGTCATTTTTAGAGCAAAAGCACATTTGTCTCTATTTATGCATGATAAAATGGCTTAATCTCACACCACATTAATGCATGCAGCCACATCAAAATTTCCTTCAGGCAACAGCAAAATCACAGCACATTTTGTAAATGTAGTACATCATACATTACTGAGTAAATCACTTTTTTTTTTCCAAACAAAACATTGTACATATGTATTTATGTACATTTCTTGTGGGAATAACAGTACTTTGCTTTTCAAGTATTATTGCGACACTACAGATTTATCTGTTACGATGTGTAAAAGTGAGCTTTTCTTGCAAAAGTTTTCCAAGCAGGTTTTGTGTTTTTATGCACACACAGACTCACATACTTACACAGATTACACTTTATTTTCCATGTTTTACCTCCGCTGATTTCAGTCCATCCTCATCATCCTCTCCTTGACTCATTTGCACACCTCCAGCTCGCCTCTCTCATCCTTTCCTCTCCTACAACCTCAGTGCCATTGACATCATGCTCATGTTGCCCTACTGCTCTACTTACAAAAGCAGGGAGAGAGCTCCAGAGGAAGGAGAAAGGGGTGGATAGAGGGGAGGATGAGGCAGATGGCAGCAGGGGGTCTATAAATAGCATTTCCAGCTGATGGGTACTGTGAGAACAAGGATGGGAAGTAGGGTGAGGAGAAGGGGGGGTTCATTTCCCAACTTTTATGTTTCTCCTTGAAATACTTCAGCTGAGAGATCTTGATATATTTGTGCATGTATAAGGAGGTAAAAGCATTACAGCTTATTCTGGTTTTTGAGTTAAGAAATACTATATTTATGTAAAAGACGACGAAGAAGTTTGTTTAGGTGGCTATTTTAGAAAGGAGATAAATTTAATTCAATTCAGTTTATTTATATAGTGCCAAGTCACAATCTCAGGGCACTGAACAGAAACATTCACTACATAAAAAGACAGTTAATAACATTATTTATCTAAGGAGCCAGCAGATTGCTTTGAGTCTTCACTTCATCGCAGTCTCCCTTCCTGAAATTCTACTGTGCAAATTCAGGAAACTAATATATTCCCCATTGACTGTGTCTTCTCTAGCTGTGCGTTTTGGCCGTATTCCAAAGAGGGAGAAGCAGCGACTTCTGGATGAGATGCAAAGCTACATGAATAGCCTAAATGAGTCAGCCATCATGGACATGGACTCTTCAGTGCAGGACGGAACCACTAGCACAGATGACTGCAATTCAAAAGAGGCCATTGGGACCATTTCAAAAGCATATCGTGACATCTTCGTCGACAGCAGCAGCAGCCATGAGAGATCTTCCAACAGGGCCAACGTTACCATTAACAACAGCAACACACATCCCTTTTCTCAGGATAGTAGTTTTCAAGTTTCATCTCACCCTGCCCACATTCAGAGTAATCAGGCTTGCCCTGTTGCCTCTAACAACAACCAGGCTGCTTTTCATAAAGTGGACAACAACTATTCCTATTTGATGTCGTCAAATCAGAATCACAACCAGTCAAATGCTGCAATAAATCAAAGGGTCAGCACCACCAATCCCAACAAATTTTGCAATGAAGTTACTGAAAAGCAGACCTCCTGCCCATGGAAATTAGCACCAGGTGCTAAAGTGCTGGTAAGTACAAGAAGCATCCAAGGCTGAAATGAGATTCCTTAATGATGTAATGCACCTTAATCATGTATTATGTGAAACTTTAGATATTTATGTCTATGATTTTGTTTTGTTTTCTTAGGCTTGTCCTCTGAATGCGTGCCCCGTATCAGGGCCAGAACGCACAAGTCAGGATATCTGGGAGTCCTTCTCTCAGTGTTTCACCCCTGCTGTAAAGGAGGTGGTAGAGTTTGCCAAGGGTATTCCTGGATTCCAAGAGCTTAGCCAACAAGACCAGGTCATGCTGCTAAAATCTGGCACCTTCCAGGTAAAAACAGATTTCAGATTCTGTATTTTGCACACACAAAATACAAATTATGTGTCCTATTCTTTACATATCCAAGTATTTTGCTTATTTGTTTGTTTTTATATGTTTAGGTTCTTATGGTGAGGTTCTGCACATTGTTCAATGCTGAGGAGCGTACAGTTACCTTCTTGAATGGACAAACTTACCCTCTGTCCACCCTGAGGGCTTTGGGCATGGGCTCTCTGCTGGATGCAATGTTTGAATTCAGCGAGAAGTTGGGTTCCTTGGGGCTAGAACCTGACGAGATGGCCCTCTTCATGGCTGTGGTGCTGGTATCTGCAGGTGAGAAAGGGATCAGGCACAAGTGGTTCAAAATCTGTGAGAATTTGTTCCAAAATAACTAATGTACTAACTGGAAACTCCTGACACAACTCTCCTCTGTGTTTCTTAGATTGTTCTGGGATCTCAGACATGCGAGGGGTGGAGCATTTACAGGAGGGTCTGATCCGCGCTCTTCGATCTCTGATCAGTCGCCGTCGCCCAGACAACACCTCCCTCTTCCCAAAGCTCCTTCTGCGACTGCCAGACCTGCGAACCCTCAATAACCTGCATTCTGACAAACTGTTGGCCTTTCGCATTGACCCTTAAAAGTGGCATCTGTTTTACACAGAAGCATGCACACCCATACATGCAGATTTTATTTTTCAAGAGAAAGACTTTAACAACGAGGAACAAGGACTTGTGCAATAAGAAGAGTGTTTTTGAAAGGGTAAATGAATGCAGCGAACATGTTTTGGATTCACTATTGATATTCATGCAATATTTTGAGACAAGATATGTAAAAACATCCAAATCCATGTACATACATAAATCTCACATATTGGGAAACAATGTTTCTGAATAGAAAATAGTTCAAAAATATTTAGTAGTCTTATCATTCATTACCATTTGAACATTTCATTTGCTCATTTCCTATTTATTTTCAGTTTAATAAGGAATAAAGCTCAGTTCATTTCTGTGTTTTTCATCAGTCCTACAGAATCAACAGGCCATCCCATATAAGCTGCAGCAGCTAAATGGGGTGTCAAAAGATGAGGCTAAGGGACCATTGGTTATAATTGACTGCGTGTAAGTTTGTATTTAAAAGAAAGCAAATCTGTATATAATATGTAGTGAGACATGAAACATTAAGGCAGTTGTATTTCACTTTCTGCAGTGACTGGAATGAGACCACTATTTTAATGTCACTTATGCACAACACAGTTCCTTCAATCATTTGGCACGTTTGAGTTACGGTAACTTCAGAAGTCACTGGCATTTTATACTTTTATGTCACAAAACTGCTTTGTCTGTATCACTGTACTGGATCACACATGAACTGATAGACACTCCCTTGATTTTTTTGAGCTCCTTTTTTCATTTTTGTCACTGTAAATACTATGTTGCCCTAATATATTTGTATCATTTGCTGAAGAGATTTAATGAAATTAATATATTGTATGAGTTTCTGGTGTAAAATTAAGAATGTATTCACCTTCCTGTATGTATGTGTAGGGTCTATGCCAAGAGGGCACTGCACAGGAGAGTGTTGTGTGGATTCTCAGATGGCTTGGGCATGTTTCTTACTATTACATAATATATCCAACCAGAAGAATTCCTGATGTCACCAGTACTCAGTTCCCATGCACCCTTCCTCTGCCCCCAATGTTTGTCATACAAACAAAAGTAATATTTTGGAGTAAGAAATATAATTTGATTGGTCCTCTCACTGTTTGCCTGTTTGGTGATGACTAATTGAGCACTTCTTGTACATTTTGTAAATGTCGTTTCCTCCTAAATAGAAACAATTCAATGATATAAAGTTCAAATTATGTATCAGTCTGCTTCTGTGTTTTAATTTCATTTCTTTGCAAACAAAATATGGCTAGAAGTTGTGATGAGTTCGTTTTTATTTTTATTTTATTTGTCCTTTAAAATAATGTGAGTTAGTATTTCAAGTAACATTAGATGTATTATAATTCTTCAATACCTAATCTAAATTTATGCCAAAAGATTATATATGGGTGCAAATGGCTCAAAATACACAAAGTTTATTATTATCATTATTGTATACACCTAGAATTACTGTTAAAAATGAGTAAGAATGTCTTTGGAAAACGTAAATAAAGTAATGTATAAAAAACAAAACAGCTGAAAATAACTTGTAGTTTGATATGAAGTCCAAAATATTAGTATAAATGCTAATAAAGTTGGGTAAAATTAAACAGAAAAGACACAGGTTTTAATTTAATTTACTAACTCCCCCCAACATTGTCAAACTACTTTCTTACAAATAAATGTAAATGTTTTGTTTAGACAAAAATTTCATATTGCAGAAGGACAAGACTGCATGTTTTAAATAGCTGTATTGTGTTACGAGCCTGTTTTGCTTTTAAGATTTCAATTTGGTAAAGCAATCAGTTATGAATTCTACAAGTGGATGTTGCAACATTTGTGTCTGTGAACTGAACCTGGAGAAAAACTAGGTCATAACACAACTGAGAGCACACGTGTCATTCCTTCCAAGAATCAATAAAATAAATCACATGTTCCTTAAATGATAACGTTCAGACGCTGATGTGGGAAGACGCTGTAAAATAAAGGTATTCCCACAAAGTTGGTGAGCAGAAATGCAAATTTATCCAAAGCACTGTGCAAAATTCTCAACATAGTTGCAGTAACAGCTGCTTAAGTCAGAAACCGAAAGCAGTAAACTGATTTAGGCACTGATTGATGCTCTGCATTCTTGTTTTCATTCTCCTCTATAACTTCTGTGTGAATGTGTCCAGGGTTCTTGGAGCATGTTATTACAAAAACGCAAAAAAAAAAAAAAAAAACAGCAACAAAAAAAAAACAAGGACAACAAAAAAAGACAGGGATTATTAAAGGTCATTTTGTTTATCTAAAATTATAGCTTTGCAAAGTACAGTAGTGTTGCATTAAATTATTGTTATTATATGTGGAAAAAAATATTCTAAAGAAAATCAGTGACTAAAGTGGTCAAACACATGTTGTAGCATAATTTAATATTTGTCATTTACATTTAGAGGAATTGAAAAATGAGCCAAAAACAATTGGAAATACACCAGTCACCCTGTACAAACAATGTAAAGAACTGGCGCCACCTTCTGGATAATTTAATTTAAAAAAAAATTCTACAGATATTGGAAATCTTACACCGCTGCTCCCAGCATAAATTATTTTCGACACTGTTAGGATCGATATTAAAAATATATTTTTTTCGTGACTTTTTTTTCTGGTTAAAATATCAGTGGGTGCATATTCTGGCTGCTTATCTTGTCGTTAGCATAATATGCTCATGGAAATATATTATTAGATAACTATATCCTGATGTATGCTCAATAATAACTATGTTCTTAAATGTACTAAAAAAAATGCATAAGTTAGCTTGTTACTTTTGACTTTTACAATGTCTCTGTTAAAGTATTAGTAAAAACCAGTGCCTTGAAATGCATTTCCTGTGACGTCAGAGGGTGCGTTTCTGAGCACAACACGGAACCAGGAAGTGTTTACTGATGTATATTTGTTGTATCTTCTCATTTATTTGTTCAGAATTATTAACAACTAAACGGCATATTTACTATGGGACTTATGTCAAACAATACGGTAAGGTATATAATATTGCATGAGACAGTAAATGAAAATAGTTTGCCTCTAAAAATCGCACATTTCCTTGCTAGCAGCTGATTAGCTCAATAGCAGGCTAACGTTAGCTAGCATCATGCACTGTCTGTACGCTGTAAATAAGTTACATTTACTGTCATGAATCACTTTTTTTTGTCTTACTTAATATTTTTCCTTGAAAAATATGTTATACAAACATATTTAGCGATTGTTGAGCCTTGAGTAAAAACTTAATGGTTAAGTTGGAAAAAAAACTGTTCAGCATTTATGAATATAGTAATAATGCTTCTTCATCTCTCTCTTTTTTTTCCATAGGTGCAGAGAAATAGTAAGAAAACTGTGGGAAATGCAATAAAATTTCAGCTTTGACCTCAAGTAGTTACCGTGCATAAATATGTTGGTGACAGCATATTTTGCCATAATTGTCCTATTGGCCCTTTGTGTTGGGCTGGAGTTCACAGCTCGCCGCCTCACACCACCGCAGTCTGCTCCTACTGCTGTGGCCAACCCAGCTTTTCGAAGGTTCCAGAGAATATTTCTTGAAGCGTACCTTTTGGCTTTGTGGGCAGACTGGCTCCAGGGTCCTTACCTCTACAAACTGTATCGCCATTACAGCTTCCTGGAATCCCAAATAGCCATTTTATATGTGTGTGGCCTGGCCTCATGTGTACTGTTTGCCCCTTTCTCTGGCTGGCTCCATCAAGTTTTAGGTCGCCGTCAGACCTGCCTTCTCTTCTGCGTGTCCTACTCTACTTGTTGTCTCACTAAACTTTCCAGAGACTACTTCGTTTTGATTGTGGGCCGTGTCCTGGGAGGTCTATCAACATCCCTGCTTGCTACCACATTCGAAGCGTGGTATGTGCACCGACATGTTGAGGTCCACGATTTCCCCAAGGAATGGATTCCTAGTACCTTCACCAAAGCTGCTACCTGGAACCATGGACTTGCTGTGGGAGCTGGACTGGTGGCTAACTTGTTAGCTGAATGGCTCCATCTGGGGCCAGTCGCTCCGTTTCTGCTCGCTGTTCCTTTTCTGGCCTGCAGCGGCTGGGTGATACTAACAGAATGGGGAAAGGAGGAGGCTGAAGGAGGTCCTGAAGGGGATAAACAAACTCTGCTGTTTGGAAGCCCTAATGGAAGTATTGCCCGTTTGTCTGCAAAGGAGCGATTCTCACGCAGCTGCTCTGAGGGGCTGCGCTGCCTGCTGTCAGATAGGAGAGTTCTGCTTTTGGGTGGAGTGCAGGCTCTGTTTGAAAGTGTTCTCTACATTTTTGTTTTCCTGTGGACCCCAGTACTAGACCCACATGGGCCTCCTTTAGGAATAGTGTTCTCCTGCCTGATGGCTGCCAGTATGATTGGCTCCTTGTTGTACCGCCTCGCCACCTCCACTCGCTACCGTCTACAGCCTGGTCATGTGCTCTGTCTTGCTGTACTGATGGCCTTCTTCTCTTTGTTCATGCTCACTTTTTCCACTGCACCGGGCCAGCCCAGACCTCATGATTCCTTTCTAGCCTTCCTGCTGCTGGAGCTGGCCTGTGGTCTGTACTTCCCTGCAGTCAGCTTTCTGCAGGGCAGAGTAATCCCAGAGGAGAAACGAGCTGGTGTGCTGGCCTGGTTCCGGTTGCCTCTGCACCTGCTGGCCTGCTTAGGACTGCTGGCGCTTCATGGGGAAGTGTCAGGAACAGGCGGAGGGGAGGCAGGCGGAGGCACCAGACACATGTTTGGAGGCTGTGCTGTTATGATGCTGGCAGCTCTGATGGCTGTCGTTAGTCTGTTTACCCTGGGAAGAAACGACACAGACCTGAGGCTGGAGGGCATAAGGGGGGAGGGGGAGATGTAATCAAGATTCCCGCCACACATTAATTTTTCTCTGATTTAACTTTGAGTTCTTGTCTTTGACTGGAGTACACTTTACATTTTGCCAATTGAAGAAGCAAAAGTGGTTTGGACGATTCAGATTGCTTTCATTTTGTAAAATATTTTTGTTATATCTTTACTTGTTTATTTATGAGAGTTTATATGAATCTTGTTTCTGTGTAAATAATTTGGGAACATGGCCATACCAACCATAATTTGTTAAACAAAGTGCTGAATAGTTAGTACGCTCCAGAACCATTCCATAAATTCTTCCAGAAAAGTTTTTAATTACTTCAGTATGTCCACCTGTATAGAGAATGCAGTATGTGATGGATGGCAACATCATCAAAGTAAAAAAACAACAATGTTTTTATTAAAAACAGTTTGTATTTGAGTTTAATGGAGACCTGAATGAATATGCAAAGAACTGATGCCATGGCTAGCTTGTTGACCAAGATTTAAATGTTTCTTATTGCAACAAGTCCACAGTGCTTGTTTTTCCTCTTTTTTATTATTGAATAGGGCAATCTAGTGTTCAGCTTTAATCTGAATACATTTTCTTAACATTAACATGATTTCTCTGGTCTGTTGTCATCCGATGTGTCTGCTCTCTACACTTTTAAATAAAAAGGCAACTGCTGTTTGTAACACGCATTTGTTTTATTTTTACCATTATTTGTGTACTTTTAGATGTTTTATCACGAGCTTTCCATTTTTTAAATGCAAAATCTGTACTTCACATGATCCCATGAACATGTTGAAATAGTTCCAAAACAACAGGAAACGTTGATCAATTGTTTTGCATGTTATATTCTACATTTGAAGTTCACTTTTTGTTCTGAATTCACATGGTAAACATACAAATGTGGTTTGACAACATGTGTGTAACGCCTTTTCATTCGTCAATTGCAAGTGATTTCCACAAATGAAGTACCTGTTCAGTCAGGTTATCTGGACGGTTTCTTTTTTCGTTGAGACGTTTTGTCCAAAGGACTTCATCAGTCCGAGGAGCCACAACAAACTTCAGCACACTCACATAGCGGGCCAACCAGTTTACTGGTGATAAGATGGTTTCTGGGGCCCACCTTCTCCCCCGTCTACGACTAAGGCAGTCATAGCCCAAGTGGTTCAAAACATCAAAGTTCATGCTCAATAATCCAGGTAGAAAATCCAGCAAGGTTCAATGTGGACTGATGAAGTCCTTTGGATGAAGGACAAAACGTCTCAACAAAATAAGCTGTCCAGATGACCTGACTGAACTTTGGATTTTTTTTAACCTGGATTATTGAGCAATGAACTTTGATGTTTTAAATCAAAACTGTGCTAAGTTAAATGTGTTAATTTAGTTAAAAGGTAAGTGATATAATAAAAGCTGTCAATCCAGAAAGTTCTCAATTTAGTTGAAAAAGTTACAGCAACTAGTTTTACACGCATCATATTTAGCTGAAAGTGGTGCTCAAAACAGATTTCTTCTCTTTCAAATATCCTGTTCAGCTGAGAACCGTTTTTCTAGATTCTTCTAGATTGCTATCCCTAAAATGCTGCCAGTCCAAACCCCCTGCTCCCCTGATGCTGTGGTACAGTCCTGGTGCAGCTCGGTCTGGATGCTGCTAGAACCTCCTCCTCTGGATGGGGGGGTGCAACATCACTGGGCTGTTGTTTTGGTTACATCAGTGTGTCGTCAGGATCACGGGCATCTTTAAGTCTGAGGTCTGGTCTCACAGCTGTCAGTCCTCTGAAAGACTTCAGGAGTGACATCAGCAGGAAAAGGAATCGAGATCTTTTTACGCACAGAGAACACCTGCAGGACTACAGAAAGGCATCATGACGCAGGGGAAGGTATGAATGAGCTCATTTAACATATAGCGGACAAAATGAGGTTTAAGTCGTTTTGAACTTAACATTTACCTGAGCAGTGCCTTTATTTTTTTTTAACATTGCTGTCAGAGCAAACTGAATTGTTTAATCTGTCGATTCATTCATTCACGACTAGATTGAGTCGTAGTGAAATAAAATCTCGACGGGGTTGATCATTGGTGACATAATTCCTTCATCGTTAAGTTTATTTTTATTAAGGTCTATTATTATTTTCTGCGCTGTTTGAGCTGCTGAATGAACTGCGTCATTTGTTGTTTTACGTCATCACGAGTCCTCGATTTGGACTTGGACGACTCTAAAGCCGGTCCTTCATGTTTTTAAGTGAGGGTTGTCTCGCTTATATTATGATTATTAATTTTTACACCATTTTTCTCTGTGTTTTTTTTAAACTTCAAATGTATTTGGTTACAGTACATTGGTTATAACCTGTTCAAAATTCAGATGGTTCAACATTTAAGTCTAATTACTGATTCAAAGTTGTTGTTTTGAATATCCAATTAAATAAAAAAAAAGAATCAGTAAAGTCTGGGTTTAACTTGTGGTTCTAGTGAAAGCTTTGACACCTACAGAGAGGAAGCTGCAGTGAAAGTAGACATTTATGTAAAATTACGTACAGAATGTGGGTACAATTCTGAAGCAGTCATTTGAACAGCTGTAACTGAAGAAGAGTGACAGTAATCAAATGTCTGCAACTGAGCCGGTGAAGCATTTCCAGTAGAGCTTGCCAACTATGAATTATACATTTTGTGCTCCCAGTTTTATCTCCAGGAACTATACACCATTTTTCATACGAGCAAGTTCAGGTCAATACAAAGTATTTAATATAATTTTATTTTCTGCTTTTATCCATTTAGCTGTCACTTGCTAACAAGGCGAACAGTGACTCCACTGGACAGGCTTTTGTGGCCCCTGCTCCCCCCACATATGAGGAAGCTGCTGCAGGTAAGACTATACTGGATTTCTCACTAGGCTTTTTTGATTTTTACAACACAATTTGACTGTTTGGATTATGTGTTGAAATTATGTCATTCAGATATTACTCCATGCTACAATGACGTTGAGATGCTCACAGAGTTCACCTGGGATGACCTCAACATCAGGAGAGTCTTTATTCGAAAGGTACCTCAAGGCTTTTTTTCTTTTTTTTTTTACATTCATATATCATATATAACATTTATTGTTGTGTATCACTAATAAATTACCCAAAAGGAGCTTACAATGTTGTTTGATTTTGTTTTTAGGTGTACACTATCTTGATGACCCAACTTTTGGTGACACTTGCTATTGTGGCCCTTTTTACATTCTGGTGAGTGTTATATCATTTTCATTTCTTCTCATTATGATTCAACAAGTTTATCGAGTTGGATACTCATTGTAAGTCTGTGTCTTTTAGTGACCCTGTGAGAGACTACATTCAAACTAACCCTGGGTGGTACTGGGCCTCATAGTAAGTTTAAGAAGAAACATGCATCTTGTTGAAATAATGCAACTTCTTTCCTAATAAATATATAAATGCCACAAATTCTGCATATCAAAATCTAACAGTAGTTCTGTTTTTCTTTACAGCGTTGTGTTCTTTGTCACTTACTTGATTCTTTCATGCTGCTCTGCACCCAGGTAAACTCTTTTTTCTTAAACTGAATGCACAACACACACACACACACAACGAAAATCACCTCAAATACTGTCATTCCTGCAGGAGACAGTTTCCATGGAATCTGATTCTGCTTGCCATCTTTGTAAGTGAAAAATAAGTGCAAAATGTCAATTTCAGAAATATTCCATTGTTTAAATATAACTTTAATAACTGTAACATGTTTTCATTATTTCCACTTTGCTCTTACAGACGTTGTCCCTTTCCTATATGACAGGGATGTTGTCCAGGTAAAATCTTTATTTTTATTCTCTGAACCTTCCCAATTTTACACGATATAACAGAGGAGTCTGCAAATTTGACAATCAAAAGAGCCATTTCTGTCCCAGTTAAAACAAAAAAGTTCCAGAGCTGCAAAACTGGTGTAAAATAAAGATAAGAAAGCTCTTTAAGGCTTATGTAAAGACTACATTTCAAAATCTATTTGTCACAATATGCAATTGAAGTGACAAGTAGCTGTTATACATTTTTGACATTATTTGGTAATTTTATATGATAGGATAAAGAAAAAAACTCATGAGTTTTATTTATTTAAATGTGTATCCTCATTGAAAATAAATTAAACTCTGAACTACGCAAACTTATGATTCCTGCCCACATTTGCACTAAATTAACAATATGTGTTGTCCACTTTGAAATAATAAAGCATAGGCTTGCAACTTAATATATTAGTCAAATTAAAAATGACACCAATTTATTAATTTTTTTTTATTGTGAATAACTTTGTTTTTCTAACAAATGTAAAAAACCCTTATTTATTATCATTTATTAAGCTTTTGTCAAAAGTAATCTTATAAAAATTCTTGTTACCAAATTATTTATGAAACTTTTTTATTTGAACAACCTTTAATATAACAATCTGTTATGAACATGTAAAAAAACTGCACTTTTACTTCCCCAACATCTTGCTTCAAATGTGTTAAAAAATTGTTTTAAATATATACTATAGAAAGCTCACACGGCATGGCTTAGATTAACATAACTGGTTTAACAAGTGCAAACAGATCAAACTGTTTTAATCCTTGAGTTATCATTTTGTCAAAGTTCAGGTTTACATACAACTGAACAAGAAAAATCCAACCAAAAAAAGAAAGAGAGAGAGAGAGAGGCACATTTTCTATAGTTATGAATATAAATTAAATTCTTTTTTTTTTTTTGTCAAAGCTACAGAGAGCCGCTGCAGAGGAATCTAACAACTAAATGTCTTTTTTCCAGTTCAACTCTTATTTGTACAGGTTATGTATAAATGCAGCCCCAGAGTTGCTCATTGCAGAATCCTTCTATAGTATTTTATAGCTTTTGGTTCAGATAGATACCGGTAATCTGCACTCCGGTTGAAGTGAATCATCGATCAAACTCAAATAAAAGGAATATATCAAAGTCTGCATGTTTTTCTTGTTTTATTAGCTACTATAACACCAAGTCAGTGGTGATGTGTCTGGGCATCACAGCAGCAGTCTGTCTCGTCGTCACAGTCTTCAGCTTCCAAACTAAAGTGAGATAAATTCAATTTTTTTCCTCCTGCTCATTCTGTAGCTGATATGTCTTGAAGTTCAAATCCTGCCATTCATGTGCTTGATGTTATGTCATCGCTCTAGTTTGATGTGACCTCCTGCCAAGGTATCCTTATCATCTTCTGCATTGTTATGCTCATCTCTGGACTGGTGTTGGCTGTTGTCCTCCCATTTCAATATGTAAGTATGGTTACACAAGTCATTCAGTTCCATAATCTGTTCCCTTTAAAGCGTGAGGTTGAATGTTGTTCTGATAAGATGCTTCGGTGCACCAGTTCATTCAAAGTGTCTTGATGCATGCTCAAAGGTTTCATTCAAAGTTTTTCATGAGCATTTAATTTAAAAATAATAATAAATGACATACCATATTTAAATAAATGTAAAAAGGTGTAAATCATGTTGAATAGGTTTGTAAAATTAGTTCAAACTCAGAGGTCTTTAGCTGTGATTGTTGGCAGTGATTAAATGTGTTTTCATTCCCAACTTGCCTTATAGGCACTTAGTAATGCACCATAAACATCACATTTTAAGGCCTAAAAGAAAGCCTTTAGCAGTTTTTTTTTTTCATTTACAAGATAGTGAGATATTTGATCTTTAGTGTATGAAACAGATACCATGAGCATTCAGCCATATGCTGGTGACGCCACTGTAACAGGAATCGTCCCAGCAGCAAACAGGAAAATGAAGGTGCTGTAGAAAGAAGAGTGTGTTCTACGTGTGGCTGAGTATTTTTTTACATTAAAAAAGTATGTTTTCTAGATGAAATTTTACTTTGTAGAAACCACACCTTTAATGTAGCAAAAGTAAAGTTTCACGTACAACACAAACAACAAAATTGAAGATTATATAATGTGTATAACTGATTAATGATCACTGTTTCACTGTTTACAAAATACCATTTGTATCAACTGTAATATAATTTTAGAGACTAATTATTTTGAAGACAGCAGCAAACTACTGGCCTTGACCCTGCTCTGACCAGCTGTTAGCTCATCAGATGGGTCAAAATTAAACTTCCTCCTAACTGAGTTAAGATTTTAGGTTTACAGGTGTTGTACTGTTTAACTGCTGTTATTACTTCTTGTTGCTAGAGGACAGTACTGTGGTGGCAGAAGATACTGTGTCGGTAGGAATAACGGAGGATACAGGAAATATGAGACAATACCATGTTCTGTAATGGTGTCTGGCAAAAATTAGTTAATAATAATAATAATCATCTTTAATGAATTGGTGTATTAAATTGTTTTACAACACTTAATAAGTAACTAATATGTTACAAAACCATAACACAGTTAACCTGTAGGTGCTGTACATTGAGTTTTTATTTTGTAAATATATTTTATGTTATATATTGTATTCTTAATTTAGCGTATTTCTTAGTTCATATCTTAGATCTTATTACTGTTTTTCTTTACAATTTATACTGTTTTTGGATGTAACTGGGACCCTGTGTACACAATTTCGTTCCACTACATGTACCACATGCGGTGCGTATGACAAATAAAGAAACCTTCAACTTTAAGGTTGCTTTCTTAAATGGATGTCTCATGTGGTGACTTACTGGAATCACAAGTGAGTCATTTTTGTTCAAACCAGGTTCCTTGGTTGGATGCCATTTACGCGACCCTCGGAGCCATTCTGTTTACTATGGTAAGAGTCCAAGTTCCACTGAACCATTCATAATACTGACATAAAAGAAGCTATTGAATTAAAGATTTGCTGTCCTTCTGAATTACCTGTTCCAGTTTTTGGCATTTGACACCCAGCTACTAATGGGGAACAAGAAGTACTCCATGAGCCCTGAAGAATATGTCTTTGCCACCCTCAGCATCTACCTTGATATTGTGTACATCTTCTCTTTCTTTCTGCAAATCTTTGGAACTAAACAAGAATAAACCTAACCATTTCAACCTGCCAAGAGCTTCACCATTGTGAAAATTATGGCAGTTAAATCTTGTGAACTTTGGTGTTTTTGATGAGTGCGCTTTCAATTAGTTACTGCAGCTTCTTTTTTAAATTTATTTTATATTTTACCTATTGATGTCACAATCACATTGTGAATCTCTGAGATACACAATGATTCAAAAGATTCCCGAACCCTCGCTCCACCATGCTCCAGCATGTTTGTGACCCCATGACCCAAGTTGGCTTCAACAGACCGAGACACTTTGTGACGTCTCTCTGTTCAGTGTCCATGAAACATTGTAGGAGTGTCCATGTAAAGTTTATTGGTACATCATGTATCATATGTGAACATTAAATAATAATGCTGTTTTAGAATAAATTAGTTCTACCAAATATTATGCATGATCTTAGCTGTCCTGAGTACTCACAGCCCATCTACTGCTCTAGATGTTTATTTAGTCTGGAAATGCTTATGTAAATTTAAAACATATTTTTTTTAAATGTGCGTAATTTTCCAGTGTCTTCTGCCATATCCATTGTCTTAATACTATAAATTACAAAGTACAAGAAAGGCTTTTGCTGTTTTTAACAGCAGGTGTGTGACGTTGGTCTGGGTTTTGAATGACAATCTTCATTGTTTTTTTTATATTCAGCCTATATTGTACTCGAGTTTAACATTTGTAGTTGAACTGTATCTCATTCATAAATTATTTTCTGAAACAATAGTTAGATTGAGCCCTATAGGTTTCATTTTTTATTGATGTGTGAGCTTTGAGTCAATTGCAAGTAGTAGCAAACACTAAACATAACAGTGCCAAACATGCAAAGGTTGACTGCAACTTTTGACAAGGACTGCTTTTGTGGAGGTACTTGAATGTAGTTAATGACTTTAAAGTTTATTTTTCTATAACAGAAAGCTATATTTAAAAAATAAATTGATTTATAGCAGGTTTGATGCTTGAAATGGATTTAAAAATGTATTTTTAAAGTTGTTTTATTGCCTTTATTTTATTATATTGATGCATGGTTTTGAGAGGACACTACAGTTTGTTGTGGAATGGGTGTTCTTATTTTATCAAAGGATGTGTATGAATATGTTCACTAGCTGAAATAAATGGTAAAATATATGGTCACTTTGATTGAATAAACTGAGCTTCAACATCTCTGACAGTGTTATAATTTATTGTTACTGAAGTCCATATATTTAAATAAAATTGAGTCAAATCATAGTACACCCAGAGCACCAGTGTTGAGCAAAATTCAAAATGCCTTTTTTTTTTTTGGTCTGGAATAAAACTTTCTATTAACAGAGATGCACTATTTTATTGTCATGCACTTTCAAGGTGCAATAAAAATGTAACGTATTAGTCTTTTATGGTGTTTTGGAAGTGCAAATGGTTGGTTACTTGGTGTTTAGTAGAAACATGCTATTATGACAGGTTTTAGGAATTGATACCTAGAGGTTCAGGCTCCATTACTCTGTAATGTTTTTGTTTTAGAAAATTGCTTTGCAAGTGGAATTGCACTTTTTTGATAAGTGCAAAAAATAAACAAATATTTTAATTACCAAATCCCAGAGAGTTAAAGCAAACACACCTGACAAGGACAAAATATACATGGATAGGAAATGTAATTTGTATTTATAAGGATTTATAACCCTTGAAAGGATTTTTCTTTATTACTGTGGCGGAAACGGGCTTCCATGGCAACCAGCCAGTTAAATTAGACCACACTTAATTTTGCTTCATCCAGTTGGCCAATCAGAATGCGTGACAGTACAACGTCCGTTTCAGCCATGATGTGGTTTGAATGAGGAAGAAGCGGGAGATATTGTTCTTCAGCGTGTTTATTTGTTATTTAGGCACAGTAACGTTAAATATACGAGTTAGGCTGTGGCTCAAAATGAAAGCAAAACTTCCGACCGCGCTAGCAGCGACTTATCGCATTCCTGTTAGCATTTAAACACTCCTCAATCAATTAGCCGCGTAGCTAACGACGCTAGTTAGCGTGCTAGCTTGACGGTGCTAACGCCAAGCTAACTAGCGCACGTTTAGTCGTGTCGTTGGGGGAAGTTAAAAAAACTGAAATGGTATCTGTGAGGAGCGTGGGTCTTTAAAAACAGCCTTAGCTAACCTACCTCAGTTGAATGAACCGCTTTGGCTTCATTTGACTTGACAACATTGGACAGACCGAAAACGGCCATAGCATTTTGTCTTCAAATCGCACCAGCGGTGTCATTTTTTAAACTTTTGAGCCATGCTGAATAAAATCTACGGATGGATAGAAACGAGCTTTGCCAATCTCCGCAACGAGGAACCAGCTGCGGAGGACTCCGATGGATACCCTGCACCCAGAGAAGCTTTAGTGAGAAGGAAAAGACCCATTGAATGGTACAAATACGTTAGAAGAAGGCAGCGTGTTTTAAAGTGCATATTAAAATACACAATTTCATGTGATTTTTACTAAAATTACCGTTGTGTTCTCTTTAAGTTTGGAGGATGGGCATAACATCCATCAAGATGATTTAGCCATCAAGAAATCACGAATGGGTACTTGCATATTTACACACATACCGGTGCCGTGCGAGTTGTATCTTTCACCCAACACTCATGCCTGTTGGGTTTTTGTTTTTTCATTCACTAGGGGATCTTATTGATAGCGTCAAAACTGCGGCTGAAGGGGTTAAAAATCACAGTACCAGTGTAGCTACATGGATGAAGAAAAATGTAAGTCCAACGTTGAGAAATATCTTGCCTACCTCCTCAGATTCCCCTGCTGGAGAGCCACATCCGTCAACATCAGCAGCAGTCTGGACCGGGAGACCGGTAAGACTTGAATTTTGTACATTAATGCCATCAGAACTCAAATGACTTGGATTATTTTATTTATACTATTCTGACTTATTGATTGTTTGACAGATTAGTTTAGCCCATCACTTATGTTTTTAATATTTGTTGGAACAACTTTCCTTCCACCTTAGGACATCAACTGGATAAAACTATCTAAAATGTTTTATTTCCAACACCATTACCAGTACTTTGATGTATTCTTGTGCTTTCTCTACTAAGGTGTAATGGTTTGCCTTATCTAGTGATCACTAATGTTCAACTTGTTGCATGTACTTCAACATCTGTTGATATGGATTTTAGTTAATTTGCACTTCATTGCTTGTTTTGTGCGTGTTTGGTTTAAGATTGTTGACAGAAATTCATTGGATGAAACGTTTGCTGCTCCCGCAACAACTTTGGAGTGGAAAACATCCAAATCAGGTAAATCTGTAGTGGCACTGTTAGTTGCAGTATATAATGTGACTTGTAGCAAATTTGATAGAGAAATAGATTTAAAACTTAACTTGAAGGTAAATAAATAAATGTTAGATTAGATGTTTGTATGTTTTTGACATCTAGGATTGACAAGTGCAATAAACAATATGCTAAAGGTATTAGTGAAGCACAAATATAAACAATAGTATTTTTTAATTGAATGCTATCACATATATTTAATTAACTTTTATTTTATTAAGATTTTGAGATTATTCTATGAGACCATTGTTTGATGCATACTATGAATTGAGCTTTTATAGGAAAATATAATTTTAAATGCTGAATTGTAATGTACAAGGTCACTATTGACCTGATGTGGATATTTGTGGGTTAGGGTTTTTGAACTTATGGAGGAAAACTAAACATTTCCCCTTTTCCCTCCAAAACTTTAGAGTCGTTACGCAATGAGAAGTCCAATATGGGATCAAAAGTTTGTAGGCGACAAGTTTGTATGAGCACTACACATCGTGAGGTGCCGAAAACAAATGGACACTCGTCCAACATACCCCCTTTCAACCCCAAAGTCCAACCCTCCCCACGTTTAGGCAGGCCCTTTAACCTTCGACCGCATGGAACTTCAAGGTATTGTTTTGCATTTTAGTTGTTACTTTTTGTAAAAAAGCAAAAAAAAAAAAAAAAAAGCAAAGGCTTTTTGTCAGTTTGTTTTTTTAATTGTTCACATTTTATGTTGGTAGTTTGTTTGGTGGAGTCGGAGCAACAAACAGCTTCTGCACCAACATGTATGAGAGAACCTTTCCCATCAAAGTAATGCAGAGTCCGACACACGGTGCCATGTCCAGCCGCTTACACAATAACAGGCCCCACTGCACAGCACAAGAGGTAAGAGCTCAGGAAACCAGGCACAGTGTCATCCTCTCTGTCATTACCAAATGGATCAAATGAATCAATGTTCTGCTGTTTGGTTATCAGTCTGTTCGTGAAGAGGAAAAGGAAATCTACAGGCAACTTCTAACTATGGTTTCTGGGGGTCAGTCATCTTTCCATCACAATGGAGGCTCGCACACCATTGTGAGGTCACACAGAGATTTGTAAGTATGCATCAAACACAACATACTGGAATGTTAAATTATAACAGGGCATAATCTAAGGGTTGCAGAGTTAAATAACAGCTTTAAGGTAAAGGTGGGACTGCATCAAAGATCGGCTTTGAGCCCCTTCTTGTTTGCTGTGGTGATGGACCACCTAACAGATGAGGTCAAGTAAGGAATCCCCGTGGACTGTGATGTTTGCATTTGACACTGATCTGTGGTGAGAAAAGGGAACACGTGGAAGAGAACTTGGAGAGATGGCTGATTTGTGACAAAAGGGTGTTTGCAAAGGTCATAGAAAGGGTTTAGAAGACAGTGTGAGACCATTGATGTTGTATGGTTTGGAGGCATAGGCTTGACAAAAAGACAGGAGACCCAAATAGAAGTGGCAGAGATGAAGATATTGAGGTTCTTCTTAGGAATGACAAGGATGGATAAGATTAGGAATGCGGTCATCAGAGGTACAGCATAAAGTTAGAGAGACCAGACTGAGATGGTTTGGACATGTCCAGAGGAGGGACAGTGGGTATACTGGTAGAAGGATGTTAGAAATGCAGTTTCCAGGAAAATACAAAGAGAAGGGCCACAGAGGAGTTAAATGGACACAGTTGGAGAGGACATGGAGGTAGTTGGAGTGGCAAAGGACAGAAGACAGTGAGACTGAGGAGGAGGATGACTTGCTGTGGCAACCCCTGAAGAGAGAGCAGCTGAAAGAAGAACAACCTGAGTCATTCACATCACATACTAGTTTGTAAAAGGAATAAGCAAGTGGAAAAACAGCTGAATCCTTCTTTCTGTTAGTCTTTTTACTGAACTGTGTCATGGTTAAGTCTGTTGTTTCATCATCCTCTCCCTCACTGTCCCATCAGCACCAGCTTCCTCACCAGCCACAGACGATTACAGGTCTCCTCCCCAGCTGGGTCAGCTGCAGGAGGAACTTCAGAGGGACCCAGTAGCCCCCTGAGTCCCAGATGTGTATCTAGTCAGTCCTCCAGTAACCTTCCCAGCCCAGTGGGAACCTCCAGCAAACCAGAAACCCAAATGTGGTCTCAAGATGCAGACTTTGGCTCCAGTAGAGCAGCTCCTTCCCCATCAGTTCTGCAAGATAGCACTTCTCAGGACACACAGTCATCAGGTACTTGCATGAACACTAATGGGGATATCAGAACATGAAATAAAATTTTGTTATGAAACTTGACAAATTTCTTGAAATTTATATTTTTGGGTTGTTAATACTATACATTTTTTGTAGCTCATGATGGTGACTCTGTAATTATTGTAAATGATCAAAAAGGCAACCAGCAAGACGGCTCAAAGTAAGTGTCTTTTGGCAATATCCTGATGCATGCTCAATAATTGAGGTGGAAAAATCTAAAAAAGTTAAGTCAGGTCCTCTGGACAGGTTCTAAAAACAAAAATTTGTAGAAATGCTACATCTTTTATCCGAAAGACTTCTTCAGTCTGAGGAGCTGCACCAAGCTCAGTTTTATTTGTAAATAGCCCCTTCTTATAGTGGATCAGCCAGTTTGTTGTTGACATTCAGTTTCTGATGGAGGACATTTGCAAACTGAGGTGTACTGCAAACCCACCCACACAGACCAGTATTTGCAAATTGACTCCCATCACCCTCTGGAGCACAAGTTAGAAGTCATCAGGACTCTGTACCACAGAGCAGACAGCGTCCCCACTAAATCAGGAGCCAGGCAGAAGGAGTAATCCCGCACAAGACAGGTTCTAGAGCACATATGTCAAACTCAAGGCCCGGGATCAAAATGTGGCCCTTCTTGACATCTTATCTGGCCCCCTAGATGATAAGTTAAACATAAAATACATTTTTCACTTGAATGTTTTTTTCTAATCTTTGATTATGATGACAAAATCCCTCAGGGACGTGTGCTGAGCACTCTCCTGTTCACTCTGCTCACGTTTGATTGTGCACCTACCCATTCAGGCTGTCACATTGTAAAGTTTGCAGATGACACAGCGGTGGTGGGATGCATCACAAACAACGATGAATCCAGCTACAGACAGGAAGGGGAACACCTGGAGAGCTGGTACAAAGAGAATAACCTTCACATCAATGTGAAAAAGACAAAGGAGATGATCGTGGACTTCAGAAAGAAAAAACACGCTTACCACGCCCCCCGAATATAAGAGGATCTGCAATGGAAGTGGTCTCTAGCTACAAGTACTTGGGTGTACACCTTAATGACAACCTCAGCTGGGGCAACAACACCACCAGCCTGATCAAGAAAGCTCATCAGAGACTACTTCCTCAGACGGCTGAGGCGAGTTGGTCTGGGAAGCTCAGTCCTCACCTCCTTCTACAGGTGTGCAGTGGAGAGCATCCTGTGCTCCAACATCAACATGTGGCATGGAGGCTGCACAGCTGCAGAAAGAAAAGCTTTGCAGAGAGTGGTGAAGGCTGCACAGAAGTCTGTTGGAGTCAGCCTCCCCACCATCACAAATATCTACACCTCCAGATGCAGGAAGAGAGCCACCTGCATCATGAAGGACCCCACTCACCACAGCACACACATTTTTTGCCCCCGCTCCCCAGGAAAGTGGTTAAGGAGCATTAAGTGCAGAACCAGTAGACTGAGGAACAGCTTCTACCCTGAGGCTGTTAGACTCATGAATCTCTAACCAGGATCATCACTGTGAAAAATCACATCATGTTGCTGCTGATCTGTTTGATGTTGCTGCTGATCTGTTTGATGTTGCTGTGTTCATGTGTGCTCATCTGCTCACACAGACTCATGTTCATGCTGCTGTTCGGCATATTGTTTTTATTGTTTTATGCTATTTGGGCCTAGTGTATTTTTATTTTATGTTTTTCTTAGTTCATATCTTAGATCATATTACTGTTTTTCTTTTCCATTTTATTGTTGGATGTAACTGGGACCCTGTGTACATAATTTCGTTCACACCACATGTACCACGTAGTGTGAACGACAATAAAGGATATCTGAATCTGAATCAAAAGTGCAACAGAGAACATCAAATGAGACCAATCAATCTCTTTTTGAGGAACCTGCAACCAAGAATAGATGTTGGGTATTTGACTTGAGTTAATGTAGATTCTTAAACCGGCCCTTAGTTTGAAAAATATTTTAATTTTGAACCCCTTTTGTAAGTGAGTTTGACACTCCTGCTCTAGAGCAATGTGGAAATCCTAACTGGGCCTTTGTGAAAGCAGATAAGAAACCCAAACAGGAACCCATACCAGTGGCCACTGGCCAAAAGGATGGCCCAGCACAAAAGAGCAACATCATCAGGCCAAGACTCTGCAGTCTACACTCCTCTCCAGGCCAGCAGTCACTCTTTCAAGGGTGAAGATGTTCACATCCTTTATAGAGAGGAACGATGTTTGAGAGAGAGGAAGCAATCTTTATGAAAAGAAACCGCCCATCATTAAATGGGTGGAGGCCTCCGTGTTCAACTGTCCCCCTCTTACAATGCTGTTATTGCTAGTACCTCTCAGCCCTCTGTAAATAGCAAGCGGCCATCAGGGCACTAATGATCTTTTGTTAGGCTAATGGTGCTCCTTGATCATGTGAACAGCTAGTTTTGAATGCCAACAATAAACTGGTTGATCCACTATGACAGGGTGCTATTTATAAGACTGAGCTTGGTGCAGCTCCTCAGACCGAAGAAGTCTTTCGGATGTAAGACGAAATGTTTCTACAATTTTTTGTTTTTTTGAACCCGTCCAGAGGACCTGAGTTCACTTTTTTTTTAGATGTCTTTGGTCAAGATTGCTGTTTTGTGTGAATCTGTTTTAATTCTAGTTTATCTTTTTATAAATTATTACGTGTTATTTGATGTGAACCTCTAAACATTTTGTGGCACATGCTTTTCTGTATTACTGTAGTTGTGAGAACGAATTAATGGCAGCTTGGGTATCTTTCTAAATTTTTATTTTTTACAGTGTGTCATGTTTCCAAGCAGAATTATGGATCAAAGAATTGTAAGTTCACTACAAAACTTCTAGTAATACATTATATATGTATTTCCACTGATATAACATTTGAGCAGGACTAAAATGAACAGATTTTTATTTTACCATTATTATTGTCTAGGACTAGCATGTATGATTCTCGGGCAAGAGAAAGACGGAGACAAATAGATGAACAGGAAGCACTAGCTGCCCTGCTGCTTAAACAGGTTAGTGCTCAATACAGAAGTCCTTAAGCTCCAACGTTTTTCACAATTACAATTTTTCTTTTATGTTTTAAATATTCTGTAATTTCTGGTCCACAGCGCTTGTCTGATGAGGGACATCGAAGCCCAGATGTGGTGGTCCATGTCCGAGTTCCGTTGGAGAAAGAGGTTCCTTTGACTCCTCTTGTGATAGAGAAACAAAAGTCTTTAGAGGAAAAACCAGAGTTTCCTGAACTCACAGAGGTGGGATTACTATGTTTTGCTGCCCCATCTTGCCCAAAGTGGTTCAAGTCCTGGTTCCGTGTGTTCAGATTGAATGTAGATGAGAATCAGGGCAAAATTTTCATAAGGTAGGCAAGTTAACCACTACTTGGAAGAAAAATGATTTAAAAATAGATTTCTGACATCTGTCAACTTCTAATGTAATATACCAGTAGGTTTTTTCTACTGGGTATAACACTGTCTTGGAACACATGTTTCGTGTGAAACATGTTACAAAGGGCTATTGAGCATGTTCCAATACAAACAAACAAAAATCCAAAAATGATTAGATGTAAAAAGTCATTACAATGCAAAAAATAAATTGGGGGTATGATTTAAAATATTGTGAATTCAGTTTTGAATGTATTCTCGATAACTTGACCATCCCATGAGCTGATGTCAGTAATTTTATTTTTTACCCTTTGGTAAATTGTTTCGACCTCTGACTGACTACTCGGAATTGCTGCATATGACCAGACTTTAAAAAATGTCTTTAATGTAATGTCTTTTCATTGTTCCTCTTAAATTAGACATACAAGAAGCTATACCAGGTCTGTTTGATTTTGAACATGGTGGGCACAGTGGCTCAGTTGGTATAGCTGTTGCCTCTCGGTGAGAAGGTCGCCAGATTGAATCCTGGTGGGGGGGCCTTTGCATATGAAGTTTGCATGTTCTCTCAGTGCATGCATGGGTTTTCTCTGGGTACTCTGGTTTCCTCCCACAGATCAAAAACATGCATGTTAGGCTGATTGGTAACTCTAAATTGTCCCTAGGTGAGAGTGAGAGAGTGAATGGTGGTTTGTCTCATTTGTGTCCCTGTGATGGACTTGGGACCTGTCCATTGTGTCTCCCGCCTCTCGCACAGTGACTGCTTGAGATGGGCACCAGTGACCCAAAAAGAATGAAATAGTGTTAAATTGGATGGATGGATGGATTTTAACTTGTCTGCTTTGTCTCCGACATCATCTCAGCCCCTGAAGAAAGTGTTTAAACATTTCTACAACTTTAGCACTGATCTTTAGGAGGGATAAGTTATTGTGTTTATGGTTGAAACAAAACAAACTGGTGCTAAGCACTGGCTCTTGTTGGGTAAAAAAATATCCTTTCATTATCTACTTGCTTAAAAAGAGCCGCACACGAAGACGGGAAAATATTTTTTTAACCCGGTTGCCCGTTGAAGCAGATGGCTGCTTGTCCTGAGCCTGGTTCTGCTGGCGGTTGCTTCCTCATGAGGGAGTTTTTCCTTTCCACTGTTGCCTCGGCGCTTGCTTAGGATGGGAGACTGCGATGAAGTGAAAACTCAAAGCAAGCTGTTGGCTCCTTAAATAAGTAACATTATTAACTGACTTTATATGTATGTAAATGTTTCTGTACAGTGCCCTGAGATGACTTCTCTTGTGACTTGGCGCTAAATAAACAAACTGAATTGAACTGAATTGCAAGGGCAGACTTTCACGCTGGCTTACACAGATGTTTTATTGAAGCCCCGGTCGTGAGGATCTGCACCGGACAGTTACAGGAAGTGTTTTTATAATGCAACAATTTTCAGTCAGGTCATCTGGACAGCCTTTTTTTTTTTTTTTTTTTGCTGAAACGTTTCACCTTCCATCCAGAAGGCTTCATCAGTCAAGGAAACACACAACACAAAACTGATTCTTCCCCCAAACAGCTTACTCCAAAGTGGAACAAACCAGTTATGTTGGTGCTAAGATGGTGTCTTTGGCATGCCCCCTCCTCTGTTGCTGGCCCTCTTCCTCGTTGACAGTCATGGCAAACTGGTTCAAAACCAAAAAGTCCTGACTGAAAATTGATGGATTGTATACCTGGATTATTGAGCATGGACTTTTTTGTTTTTTTGTTTTTATAATGCTTATCATCCCTCACAGACAAGTCACTGATGACCTCGACCTCACAGCTGTATCAAATCAGCTCCTCTGAGACACACATGGCTCAACATTAATTTAATATTAGTAGTGAAAAGCATCCACAAACCTTTACCTAAATTCCCCTGACGGCTCTGAACCAGCACTGGAACTGCTTTAGTAGTGAAAAACTAGCCTTATATACTTTCATTGTTTATTATGATTATGTGTATTTAGATGAACTGCACTGAATTGTATAGATTAGGCACTAAAAAAAGTGTGTATGTATATATATATATATATATATATATATATATATATATATAAGAAAAACTGTTTAAAAGTGAAGCACACCTCAATTGTGCTTTGCTTTAAATAAGTGTTTTTCCCACTAATGCAAATGATCAGATTTTTCTATTATTAAATAGAAATAATAAATATTTGCACATTTTCTGTTTAGGAAATGGACGCTGAGGTGAACATGGCACTGATGAAAGGGGGAAGTCCTCATGAAGTATTAAGTGAAGGTTTTGGTCTCAGCCTTACAAGAAAAGATCTGCAAACGCTCAGCAGCCTCAACTGGCTCAATGATGAGGTGAGGACATTTCCAGTCTGAACTTTAATGTTGGTTTAAGTCTTTGTGTGGGAATTTCCAGGAATAACTTCACAATAGTTTGTTTGTGCACTCTTAAAATAAAAAGTCAAATTTTTAACAGTTCTAAAATTATGCTTCATGGCAATTTAAACTGTCCCTTTTAAATTTCACAGGTGATCAACTTCTACATGAACCTTTTGGTTGAACGCAGCAAGGATCCCAGCCGGCCTTCGGTCAATACATTCAACACTTTTTTCTACCCGAAGCTGCGCAGCAGCGGCTACTCTGCTGTTCGCCGCTGGACCAAAAAGATGGACATCTTTGCTAAAGACCTGTTGTTAGTTCCTGTTCACTTAGGCATGCACTGGTGCCTCTCTGTAAGTCTAAATGGCTGTAATTTTAACGATGAAAGTTACTTTGGATATTTATGTTTTATTATTCTTTACTCCTTTTATAGGTGGTAGATTTCCGCAAAAAGTCCGTCATGTACTTTGATTCTATGGGAGGAAGAAATGATGAAGCATGCCAAGTGTTGTTGTAAGTTTTTGTCACATAAGTTTGTTTTAATAGTGGGAAATGTATTTTCAGAGCAACTTAATAGAGATGATGGTCTTGATAGAGACTTAAGAAATAAATTGTTTTGGCTTCTTCAGTGACTACCTGCAACAGGAAAGTAAGGACAAAAAAGGCAAAGAACTGGATACCTCAGGCTGGACTCTGCACAGCAAAAAGCCAAGTGTAAGTTTGACACAAACAGGAGCCACAATATTCAGTTTATTGCATCACATTTTGTTTCAATTCTAAATTTTGAGCAGATTGGCCAGCAGGGGATGCTGGATGCAGCCTTTTTGCCCCTACTGGGATGCTGGAGTGTTTAGTGTTGCTTTTAAATATTTTTCAAATAAAACATTTCAGGAGACAGGACAGAAAGGCCACTGAGTAAAGCTGAGGGATCCATAGAAGATGCATCATACTGTTGTTTAAAATCTAGTGGAATATTAAGATTCATCTCAACAAGCTGACTGCATTTCTTTAGAAAATGTCACATTGCATATAAAACTTTAAATGTTTTTAAGAGTTGGTAAAGTTGTTTGGCTTTAATCGATATAATCAAGACCTAACTTGCACATTTAAATATGTTAAACCCTATATCAAGTCACACATTTTGACCTGAAAGAGAAGGGGACCCATGGATCAGGGGTGTTCTGAGAGTTCTGTACTTTTGTATTTACAGAACCAGCGTGCATATTGACAGAAGTGGAATGCAGCCCTTGTTAATACACATGTACTTTCTACTCAAGTCAAAATGTCTACCATGAGACATGTCTGTTGTAGACTTGATTTAACATTTGATTTCCTTCTTGTAGGAAATCCCACAACAGATGAATGGCAGTGACTGTGGAATGTTCACATGCAAATATGCAGATTACATTACCAAAGACAAACAAATCACCTTCACACAGGTAATCCAACACCAAATGTAAAGATTGATCTTGTACATTTTAATCACAGTTGTCTAGAAATGGAGGACTTCTGCTTTAATCAACAGAAGCACATGCCCTACTTCAGGAGGAGGATGGTTTGGGAGATTGTGAACCACAAATTGTTGTGATGTCCTGTCTGTGGCCAAGACTTTTTATAGTCAGTCACCCTGCAGCTCCTAACAAAGACTGAGCTCCCATCCTCAGGAGGATCCACTGACAGCAGTCCTTTTTCTGGGACAGACTCGCACACCAGCTCCCCAGACCAGTTGTTTCTGTTCTCAAGGGTCACTAAAGTGCTCTACGGGATGGTGCTGGAGCACAAATCACTGCCTCAGTCCCCTGTTTCAGATTTTTTTGTTTTGTTTTGTTTGATGCACCAGTAGGAGCATCAATATAGCAGCTAAAACGCAGCATTTTGTTTTTGCCAGAACAGGTTTTGGATCACAGTTGCACCAAAATCATACTCTGATGTGTTACATTTGCTTTTTTTTTTTTCTCAGTTTTCACCATTTTATTTCATATCAAAAGAAATGGTACATAGATGCTCTTGGTATGGTGCAAAGTGGGATTACTACAGCTGTCATTTTACATTCATCTAGACTAAAATCTGTTTTTCTATTAAAGAAAGACATTTATTTATCTTATTTTTTTAAATGCAAAAGGGCTACTATGATTAGTTACTCAATATGAGTGTTCAGATCGTTTTCTTTTGACAACACCTGCTGCAGAAATACTGTTCAGTGTGAACAAGTTCCACATCAGCTGCATTTAAATGTGGCTTTCCTTCATAGTATGATTCATAACAAAAGTGAAGTCTTATTCTGATGTAACTGATCAGTTACAATTTAAAACAGCAGGGTAAAGTTTTGCCATTCATTATTCTTGATAAGATTGTAAATTAAAATCTATTTTATGTATTTGTCTTTTTGTTCAACAGCAATTTTTGTGGCATATTCAGTATATTTACAATTTTGTACATACTTTAAACATATACAGTCTATAGTGTAATAAACTTTTTTTTTGTATTTGCTAGTACTTCTAGACTGGTTTTGTTTGTGTAATGTGTCCAAATCAGCTGGATCTGAAGCACCAGATAAAAAATAAAAAAAACATGCTTGGTTTATTTCAACTTATAACCAGCAAGTCCATTTTTATGTAATGAAATAACACAAGGTACAGTGGAAAAACGTTTATTTAAAAAAGGGGGTAAGCTGCAAAGATTTTTAATGTCCTCATCTGAGGAACAATCTCCTGCATCGTACAAGCATTACTGAGGAGACACTGATGCAGGAAACAAAACTTCACATGCACTGAAACATGGTTTGCAACTTGACTTTCCATATGAAATATTGAATTGACTTGAGCTCACAGTAATTCAAAATCAGCAGCAGTATTTGTCCCAGGCCAACATTCAACGTTTTGCACTGAAAAATGTCATTACGGTTTAATGTTTAGACATGACTTATTTATTTGTAGTGCGTAAAATCACTTCCAGTCAGATGACGATGCACGAAAATGGATTTTTGGTCGATACCAACACCAATGTTTCTTTTTTCCTTCTAGACCTTACAGAGAGACTACATAGCTTTCTCTTCTGTGGAATTAAAATACATTTTTATTATTTTTTTATTTTTATACCTTTATTTTACCAGGAAGAAATCCATTAAGATCAATCTTTTACAAGGATGTTCTGGACATATCTTCTGCATGGTCTTTGTCAATTTGGCCTGCTACCAAATGCATTGCCAAAAAGGGGCTGAAAATTATGTAACACTATATAAATATATAATCTATATGAAAAAAATGCCTTTTATATGGGTGAGTTATTTTGATACTGTATTTTGGCCCATGTCTGATGTTTAACTTTATCGCTAATATTGGCTGATGCTGATGCCTTGCCAATAATATCATGCATCCCAATTAAAAACATTTATAAATATAAAAGCCATAGATGTAAAGCCACATGTCGTGATCCATTTTTCCATTGGATGTTTTTTGGAGGGTATAGTATTGCATTTCTATGAACAAGACATTTATTGCATAGATCATCAGACCTTGGGCATAGTTTCTGAACATTGGACGGATGTGGACACAGAACCAGCTGTGAGCAGTCAAATGAGACCGACCGACTATTTGGAACTGAGTCTACGTTGTTCTGGTAACGAGGTAATCTGAGGTTTTGAGCGCTTTTTTTTTTTAAACTCCCAACTGTATGGGGTTCAACCTTAACTGTAGAAGCAAACATATCCAGAATCTGGAATCATGTTTCTAAAGTGCCAACATTTGTGACACAGGTGGTACAAAAAACATTAAAGCTTTTTTTTTTTTTTTTTTACAGTAAAAAAAAAAAAGAAAGAAAATGATGCAAACATAAAAATCATCACTAGTTGACAGAAGACATGATCTCTCTCTCTTTGCAGGAAACAAGACTATCAAAAATAAAAACAAAATTTATCTGAAAACAAACTCAAATTTATGTAAAAAAAATTAAAAATCTTTAAATAACAAATGTCCAAAACAACAAAGATTACAACCCGCAGAGAAAAGAAAAAGAAGCAGACATACAGCAACGGCCAGTATTACTTACTGGCCACAATAATCCACCTCTATAGTGTATTCTGGAGATATAACTGGACCGAGCGATGCTTCTTTATACCTTCATAACATTACTTTAATCAGGACTAAAAAATGTATTTTTGGGGGGTTCAGTAGAAATTCAGCTTCCCCTCATGAGAAAAACAGACCAACTAATCAAGCTGCCTTTTGACGTGATGTTACATTATGAATATTAGAAAATCCTGAATGTGTTTTCTTTATATACAGACAGTTGGGAGTATTTTCATCCCTGTTAAGAAGCGTTGGGATGAATTGTGTGGAGCAGCTCAACATCATTTAATCTCTGATAAAACAATGGCTTGCAAAAGTTAAGTTCTTCACATTTATATTATGATGTGCGAATAATGGACCAATCACCATGAAAATAATGTTTAAAGCTCTCAATATTTCAAAGACACTTTGGGTGTTATTTTAAATTGTATACTTTTAAAAAGAAAGGGTAAACGTTGGGGAATCCCAAAGAAAATGTTTTTCTTTTGCTTGTAAAGGCCATGACTTGTTAACCCTAGTTAACACTTTCTTTTCGGGTCACAGGGGTCACTGGTGCTCATATCCAGCAGTCACTGCGAGAGACAGGGGACACCCTGGACAGGTCTCCTGTCCATCACAGGGACACATAGAGATAAACAACCATTCAAACTTTCACTTACACCTAGGGACAATTTAGAGCTGCCGAAGTGAGGAGTTTCAAGAGGATTAATCCTCACAAAGCAACCGGCCCAGACAACTTCCCTGAGAAGGTGCTGAAAGACTGTGCCAATCAGCTCTGCGAGGTGCTGGCCGACATCTTTAACTCCTCACTGACTGGCAATAGTTCCCAGCTGCCTGAAGACTGCCACCATCATCCCAGTCCCAAAGAGCTCTACAGTGACTGACCTGAATGACTACCGGCCAGTAGCCCTCACCCCATTAGTCGTAAATGCTTTGAAAAACTGGTCATGACCCACATCAAAACAAGCATCAACATCAACGAGGACCCTCACCAGTACGCACACCACAAGAATCGATCAACAGAAGACGCCATCTCTTCTGGTCCACACTGCTCTCACCCACCTGGAGCAGAAATGCTCTTTGTGGACTTCACATCTGCCTTCAATACCATGATTGCGGTGGAAGCAGTCTCAAGCTACCAGTTGGGTGTGCACCTGAATGACAACCTCAGCTGGAGCAACATAACTACCAGCCTGATCAAGAAAGCTCATCAGAGACTCTACTTCCTCAGGCGGCTGAGACGAGCTGGTCTGGGAAGCTCAGTCCTCCCCTCCTTCTACAGGTGTGCAGTGGAGAGCATCCTGTGCTCCAACATCAACATGTGGCATGGAGGCTGCACAGCTGCAGAAAGAAAAGCTTTGCAGAGAGTGATGAAGGCTGCACAGAAGTCTGTTGGAGTCAGCCTCCCCACCATCACAGACATCTACACCTCCACCTGCATCATGAAGGACCCCACTCACCCAGCACACACTTTTTGCACCGCTCCCCTCAGGAAGGAAGTTAAGGAGCATTAAGGGTAGAACCATTAGACTTAGGAACAGCTTCTACCCTGAGGCTGTTAGACTCATGAATCTCTAACCAGAATAATCACTGTGAAAAATCACATCATGTTGCTGCTGATCTGTTTCATGTCGCTGTGTTCATGCATGCTCATCTGCTCACACAGACTCATGTTCGTGTTGCTGTTCGGGGTATTGTTTTTATGCTATTAGTGCTTAGTGTATATTTAGTTTAAAATTTTTCTTCGTTCATATCTTAGATCTTATTACTGTTACTGATTACAGGGCCCTTTCTGGGTGGAGTTTGCATGTTCTCTCTGTGCATGCGTGGGTTTTCTCTGGGTACTCCAGTTTCCTCCCACAGACCAAAAACATGCATGTTAGGCTGATTGGTAGCTCTAAATTGTCCCTAGGTGTGAGTGAGAGAGTGAATGGTTGTTTGTCTCGTTTGTCTCTATGTGTCCCTGTGATGGACTTGCGACCCGTCCAGGGTGTACCCCGCCCCTCGCACAGTGATTGCTGGACATGGGCACCGGCGACCCCCGTGACCCAAAATGGAATAAGCGGGTAAAGATAATGGATGGATGGATGGATGGATATTAGAACAAAAAAGAACTCAAGAATTTCACATTATCATAATTTTTCTAAAATAAAGCTTAAAGTTGCTTAAAATATTAAAGAACGGTGTTATCTTTAGGTTTCTAATTTTCGGAAACATGGTTGTCTTTTACTCACAGTTACACACAAATCAATTTCAACTAATCTTTTGCAAGCCACTGTTACTGGAATGCTTTAAATCTGTTCATTTATTCATATAAATATTTCATGTAAAAGTCCTTACTGGTAAATCTGATTGTCCGAAGCTTTGTTGAGACTATTTTAACTATAAATTACTTGAGAGTCAAGTGCACAAATGAAGTCCAACCGCCCCAGGCGAGGTTTTATACCTGATAAACCGACAAGTCTAATCTGGCTAGAGGAAAGTTTTGAAGTACTTCAGTCACAAATTTGCACCGAGCAATAAAATTAGGACACAAGATGATAGAAACACACTAACATAAAAAAGTACAACAAAAAAAAGTAGAAAACATCAGATAAAAAAGGACATCAGTATATTTTACAAAATGGTCAAAAGAAAAGAACAAAAAAATCAGGACATGGCATTCTTTTTTTCCTGGTGTCCTTCTGGATCCACTGGAGATGGAGTTAGAAAAGTACAGAAATGATGCTGAAAAATCTTTCACGTGTAGTGTGTGTGTGTGTGTGTGTGTGTGTGTGTGTGTGTGTGTGTGTGTGTGTGTGTGTGTGTGTGTGTGTGTGTGTGTGTGGGTGTGTGTGAGAGTGTGTGTCCTTGGTAGTTCTTTGTCTCGCTTCCCTACTGTCCTCCAGCTTATCTTGCTTGGAGTAAAAAGAGCTTGCTTTAAAACATGAGTTTATAGAAAATATCCTTGTTTTCATCTCCTGTTTATGTGGAGCAGTTCATGTCTTTTGCACCCCCCCACCCCCAAACCAGGTGTCTGTTGCGTTACGTGCAGAGTCAACACTTATGAACCGTCGCACCAGGCTCCGGAGGAAGATCTGACCCCAAAGACAAACAGAGCTGTAATAAACAGGCATGTTGCAGGAATAACATGCACACACAGAAAGCAACCAACCTCTTCACTTGTTATGCTGGTAGGAGTAGGTTGTGTGATCTGTGGATGTCTCTATGGCAACGGGTTGTTGGACAGCACTTTCCTTAGAGAAACAGTCTAGATTAATTTTATGAGTGATTGTTTGTCCCCTTTTTTTTTTCGTGTTAAACTTGGAGGAAACAGAGCTTACCTCAACTGAGATGTTGGCGGGAGGCACTTGGGGGTACGGGGGCATGTAGGTCCCCTGCATGGATGTGTTTGCAGGCATGTACTGAAAGAGAAATATAAATAATGAGCTCATCTAAATTAGAATTATTAAACTAGAGAAATTGCATTTCCTGCAAAAATGCAGTGTGAATGCTTACTGCAGAAGAATTTGTTGAAAAACAGCTGAAATTAGCTAAAACAACATTCTGAAATATAGATGAAAGGGAAGAACAAGCCTAAATTAGCAGAAGAAAGCAGAAAGAACACATATTTGCTGAATTAGGTTTGGATAAGCAGAAATGCGCACAGAAATTAGGAAATTTGCTAAAAAGAAAAGGCAGAAATAAGCTAAAAATAGATGAAAAGGCAAAAAGAAGCTTAACATATCAGAAGGAAGTGGAAAGAACTGAAATGAGCTATATAAAAAAGTAATTAGCAGAAAAAGCTAAAATTAGCATCAAAAGAGCTAAATAGTAGCCAAAAGAGCAGAAAAAGCTGAAGCTTGCAGAGAAAAACTGAAACAGAATAACAAGCTGAAATTAGCATAAAGACGTTAATTACCGGTAAACTGAACGTAGCAGAAATTAACGTGAAAAACTTAAATTGTTACTTAAACTAGCAGAAGAACGCAGAAAGAACACATATTTGCTGAATTAGGTTTGGATAAGCAGAAATGAGCACAGAAATTAGGAAATTAGCTAAAAATAGCTGAAAAGACCAAAAGAAACTTAAACTACCAGAAGGAAGTGGAAAGAACGGAAATGAGCTAAAAAAAAAAAAAAAAAGTGGAATTATCAGAAAAAAAAATGAAGCTAGCAGAAAAAAATTGAAATAGAAGCTTAAATTAGCAGCAAAACGCAGAAAGAACACATTTGCCCAATTATGCTGAACAAATGAGAAACTAGCACAAAAACTGGAAATTATCTGAAAATGTTTAAATTAGCAAAAAAAAAAAAAAAAAAACAGCTGAAAA